TGTGAAAATGCAGATGTAACCCCCTTTGTAATCGTTAATATTTTCATAAGTAGACTAACTGTAATTTAATTACACATTTTTTCTCGTAACTGTAACTGATTACAATTACATTTATTTTGTAATTAAATTACGTAATAAAGTTACATGTAACTAGTTACTACCCAACACTGTTTATTTGGTAAACTTGCTTATTTGGTCAAGCAGGCCCCAGCTCAAAAAGATTTGCGAGTCTCCTGGCGAATCGGTTCAATTCAATCTGTTCAAACGAACGATTCCTCCGCGAATCGAACATCCCTATCATGTGCATGACAGCTCAGAGGAGAGCAGGAGGACCACGACGCGCAGGGACAGTCCTCAATCTCCCACCTTATTTTTGTCAGCTAGTAACATTCATATACACTGAGAGGAAAAGCTGTGTATGTTTTGAAATATTGGCGAGCATCGGTTGACAGCGCTCTCGCTCGGAGGATTCATCCCGGGATATTGAATGGAAGCGGCGGCTGAAGGGGCGGCCAGCCTGTCTGAGGCCGGGGATGGGAGTCCGTTATCCGGGGCAGCAGCATCCGAGGACGCGGGGACGGGGGACGGCATGGACTGGGGTAACCAACAACTTGGGTTTGATTCGAAAGAAGGTGTTAAGAAAGACATCGGTTCATGCAATCTCATCTGATTGATTCATAGGTGGTTGGGATTCACATGGATAGAGCTAGCAAAACTAGCATTCATGCATGGGTTTGAACACTGATGCATGAGATTTATCATACAAGCATCAGATTATTAGGGTTCACGTGCTGCCAGAGTCAGTGTGCATTAATGCATATATAGTTTTATGGGCATATTGTCAGGAGGATGGTGTGACAACGAGGTTCAAACCAGATTTAGCGAGCTAGCCATCAGCAGGGACACTGGGCAGATGACAGATGGGATGGTGGGGGTTTCAGGTGAGAAACGGGGTAAAGGGTGTATTACATTTGTTTAGGATAAATGCCATCAAATATGCCAATTAAATGCATAAAGGATGACATTAGATGACATTACAATAATGTTTTGATTTGTAAAGGATTCCTTAGATCAGTCAAATAGGTCTTTACTTTTATGCATGTGTGGTGCAAGTTCTCATTGTTTTGAATATTTGTAATATTCAAACACGAGCCATTTTTCTTTCTTTAGTTATTAGAGTGTGTGCAATTGCTTGGTAAGTCTTAGAAAAATATTGTAACACTAATATGACTACTATATAAACACTAATATAACACTAAAATGTGCCGTGGTAATACAATGGGCGTAATATTTTCATTTGAATAATTTCTAGTTATTAATCATGGTAAAACATAATATTTTATTCATTTTTATAATGACAAATAATAAATAAGAATGAAGAAAAAATTATTTGGTCGTTTGTACTTTTTTGTTGTTGTTGTTAGTGCAGAATCTTAAATATTTTATGAATTTACATCATAATCTTTTTTGGTAACAGTTTACGTGAAGCCTTTATATTAAAAGTATTTTTTAAATGTTTTAATTATGCACCTTATAATGCATTGTATGATCTCATGAATAATTTTAACGTCAGTTATTGTACATTATAATAGTTATATATTTATCATTACACCTTTAGAAACTATAATGCATTAAAACATTTGACAAACAACCAATTGCAGATCGAACAAGGAATCTGCAAATATCATAATGGCTTTTAATTTTGGCTACAATTATTTATGAAAATATATAATGTTACATTAGTACATTACATGTACAAGTACATCATGAATGCTTTTATAATGCATCATACATGAAGACTTGAAGTAAAGCCGCCTAAACTTAAATAAAAATAATAATAATAATAAATAAAATCATTAAGTTTTCTGTTTATTTCATGGTTTAAAGTTGATTATTTAACTATGATATATTAAAAAAGAAGCCTTGTGCTTGATTGATATATGATGGTAATTTCAGATTTTCACTTCCATAACAGTTACTGGATCTATCAAATACACTCTTGTTTCTGCCTCTAAGAGACCGTTTTTTTTCTCCCCAGTTCTCCAGTTGTGTTTTTTCTTCTTTTAATTAGTCGCGTATCTGTGTGTGAGGTGTCAGTGATCGCATTCACATGCATGATATGCTGATAACCAAAAATCGCCTTATTCTGCAAACCCGAGAAGCTACAGTTCAAATGATCAGTTTTTACTCTTTACACACAAAACCAACTATGACCTTTTCATGACAAAAAAAGTTAGTTTTCTTGGGTTATTAAACATAATCAGTGTAAGATTATACTTGTAAACCCACTTTATGAGATTTATTAAAGAGCACAAAATGTGATCCACTCCATAAAGTGCCTGTGTTCAGTATGTACTTAAGATTGACCTTTCTCCAGCTCATTGTTGACAAGATTTGTTCTTTTGCATATGCGTGGAGGCTTTGCAAACTGCATTGTGGTTACTGTTTTTCAAAGACATAAATGTCAACGCGATTGGCCTGTAGTAAATGCCACATACTGTCTTGCGCTTATCATCTACTTTTTAATCACTAAAACTGCATCCAAACAGGGACGGTTCACTCCCTGAATTCCCCTGGCGCTGGCGTCTCCAGCCTCGGTATCCTCCTGTTTTGATTGGTTTGCTCCCCATCGTCTCCCGTGTAGATGTGTGTGGGAAAACATGCTGACTGTTGAGCATGTAATCGCATGACACGTCTGTGAGTCATTTTCGCACCTGAAGTGATTTGGACGCCATCATCCACCCTTGGTTTCTTGGGTTTTTATGTTTTGTTTGTAAAATCAGATTCAAGTTTGCGGAGTCACAGGTATAAAAGAGTTCTTTGGCAGCGTTTTTGTCCAAACATGACGCAAATCTCAACAGGATAGAACAAAATTTTACATGCGCTTAAAATTATTAGCGTGTTTAAAGATTCACTTTAAGTGAGTGTTGGATGATAAGGTAATCTAGGAAAGGTAATCTAAATGTCAAAATAGGAGAATTAACGCACAGATGAATATTCAAAATTGACCGATACTAGTAAAAAAAAGTCTCTATAATCGGATGATAATCAATAAAATGCTGATATATTATGCATTCATGTGCAAAACTCGCAGCCACAACACTAGGGTGTTAGTGTGTAGTTGCTAGATTTGGGTGGTAACATTTTTTCACAAGTTGCGAATTTCATTTATATACAAAAACTGGAACATCGCAAAACTTTTCACGAAAAAAGCACATTTTCAGTACGATTGTTTCTTCTCAGGTTGAGTTATTCAGTCACATGTCTTCTTACCTCAAACAAGAATAGTTTGTATTGGTAATTTGTTGCGGATTGGCATCGTAGTTTCATAATGCAGTATACCAAAATTTGCCAAAATCCACCAGTATACCATGAATACATGGCTGGCTCGGGTTCTGCCTTCAATGTAAGAATTTGTGATTTGTTTGCTTACTTTGTATTGTTTTAATGTTGCGAAAATTGTGTTTGAATGTCTAGAAAAGTTGAATCCACTTTATTTAGTACACATTTCTTATGAATGTGCGTGACTTCATATTAGCTGCATTAACCGCTAATAACTAGAAGAATAACAAAATAAACAGTACAATTATTTGTGCTACCAATGTATGTATGATTCTGATAATAAATTAAAATAATATGGTAACAAATACCGGTTTAGATGCCAATCGTTGCGACCAGAAGATTGTGCGAGTCAAGAACTGATTCAGTCTGATTTATGAAGAAATTATTCATAGTGCAATGAACAATTTTCCCTACCAATCACTGTTTATCATGATCATGATAACAAATTAAAATAATATAATTTCACTGGAAGCGTTTACGCCAATAGCCTTGTGGGCAAGTGCGCCGACATATAGTGCCATTGTGCTATGGGCGCCCTGAGTTCAAATCCCGGCTTGAGGACCTTTCCAGGCCCCTGCCCCCTCTCTCTCCCACTTTGCTTCCTGTCTGTTCTACACTATCCTATCACACAAAGGCAAAAATTGTTTTTCACTCGCACGCTGTAATCTTAAAAATAAAACGGTGGATACTTTAGAGTTTAATACTTACAGTTAGAGGTTTGTTCAAAGCTTTAAATGTGAGCTATAATAATACTTTTTGCACATGGTAATATAGTTATTGCTCTCGTTTCGCCCAGTCTGAATGATAAATATCTGTTGCTGTTCAGTTCAGTGGCCGTCTTACTTGGCTCATTAAGAGCAGCACTGAACCGATGATGACCAAGATAGGAAAAGATCTTTATTGTAAATTAATTATAAATCGATTTTGAGGTTATTACCGCTAAGTGGACTGTCTAAAGCACCCACTTCATTATCGTCGTGTGATGGTGGTAGTAAATGTACACAATTAAAGCATCTGTGAAATCCAGACACGGCTTTCTTGGTTTATACAAATAACATCCCATGGGATGCATATATAATCAAACCCTAGGCTATACTCAAAGCCATATAGTGTTGTGCCCGCTGATATCACTTTGCAAAACAAGGCAGGTCTGTCTGCATACTCCATCTATTTCCTCTACTCATGTTATTCTAATAGCTCAGACTGCTGGGAGTTTTCAAGCTTTGGTGGGAAATGGAAAACAAGCAAGAATTGCATAATGGTGTCTCTCTGTATTCCTTGCCCCCCTTGCTTATGCCCTGAAGAGGATTAAGCTTTTTATAGACCAGCCTGCAGACAAGACCAGGGTTCTGGAAGACACTCAATCCCATCGGCCCTACCTCAGAGGGAGTATGGCGTCTCCTACAAGAGGACGCAAAGTCCTTCTTTGACACATTTGTGTTCAAGGCATCATAACAAAACCTTGTTTAGGGAAACTTACCAAAAGATGTGTGTTCCGGTAAAGAAAGCAACACACGAGACTCCCGCAAATCCTGTAGAATTAAACCAATCAGATGTGTCAAGTGTTTCCAAATTTGTGTGCCGTATGCATTAGATGTTCAGCCACGGTTCATGGGCGTGACGTCTGAGGCTGAGACTAAACAAACTCTGGTGTGGTTCAACAAGGGTCAAAAATATCTAAAATCAAAACAGGACGTGGTGTCACAGGATGCAACCCTAAAAAGGACAAAATATTCAAGCATACTTGGTTTTCTTGTATAGTGTACCTACCTAAGTAAGTTCTGGTAATATAAGGTAACTATATGGGGCAGGGTTAGGTTTAGGGGTAGGTTCAGGGTTAGTACCTAGTTATTACCAAGTTATTGTTATTACTATAATAAGTACATACATTATAGTATGAGGAACAAGACTGTAAAATAAAGTGCTACTGCCCAAAGTATACTTCACGAATGCTAAGCCTATGTGTACAGCCAAATGCATAGCTTTTTAAAGTATACTCCATTTGATAGCATGCGCAAATCCGTTTTATCGTCAGCCAGGTGAAAAATCGTAAAGCTTAAAGTATACTTAGCGTTTGCGTACAGATGAACAGCATGGCCTTTTCAAAGTATGCTCCATGTTTATAGCATTCGCAAACCCGTTTTATTGTTCGCCAGGTGAAAATTGTAAAGCTCAAACTATACTTGGTGTTTGTGTATCCTTGACCATCATAGCCTTTCAAAGTATACTCCATTTTATAGTGTGCACAAACACAGGTGTTTGACACATGTGCACTATAAAGTTTCATCTTTGTTCAGTGTCTATTTTTTCGAGAAGTTATGAGCAATAAAAAAATGTCCCTAGAGTTGAGGGAATCTCTTGACTCCTGCACACAAGTGCATTGTTGTGTGTCTATTACTTAGAAGAGCTATGAACTTTGAATAAATCTGTTGAAATTCGCAAGAGGAACTTTGTAGTTTTTGTTTTCATCTCTCAGATCAGAAGTGAGCAATGAAAATGGTTTTATGTGCCTCACTGGTGGGTTTACAGTTGCCTGTTTTCTTCGGTTTGCTTTATACAGTTCTGTTTTACCAGATTATGAGCTGTCCTTCATATGTTGTCATGGTTTTACTTCCAGAATTTAGATTTTTGTAGTCATACCACATGATATCCTTTACTCAAAGAAATCCAGGTGTGAACAACTTGTTGCATCTTTCCCAAAAAGACTCATGGCTGTATTAGATCAAAAGGGTGCTTCTACTAAATACTGAGCAAAGGGTCTGAATACTTAGGACCATGTGATATTTCAGTTTTTCTTTTTTAATAAATCTGCAAAAATGTCAACAATTCTGTGTTTTTCTGTCAATATGGGGTGCTGTGTGTACATTAATGAGGAAAAAAAATTAACTTAAATGATTTTAGCAAATGGCTGCAATTTAACAAAGAGTGAGAAATTTAAGGGGGTCTGAATACTTTCCGTACCCACTGTATGCTAAATCTTTGGTAAATTTAGTCCTATATAATGAATGTTAGCTTGAGGTGTCAAGTGACACTCCAAGGTTCTGTCGTCAAGTTCTTCATTTCAAGTCCATTTTGAGCTGGCTGTGATCACACCTATCCAAAGTGATTTCAGGAGTTGTTTTGTTAATTCATTAGCACTAGAGATGTTATGAGCTGTAACCTGTGCTTTAGAAGTTTGTCAAGTTCAATATGGCTTGAAGGAATTTGAACGCTATCTCATAATAGAATAAGAATGCTATGTTGTTTAAGTTGATTTTCAGCTAATTTTATAATCCTTTAGCTATGAATGATATTACCATCAGCTCTGTTTAACCCAGTTGACCAGATGGTTTAAACAGATTTCCCTTCAAAATCAGTTTTTGAACCTTGACTTTTAAACTTTAATACAGTAAATATTTTGTGTGTCAAAATGTTGCTTAGCCTGCACGAACGGTCAATTTAAATCCCAATTACATTTCTTCTGTTCATATAGAACAGGGGTGGCGAACTCCGGTCCTGGAGAGCCTCAGCCCTGCAGAGTTCAGCTCCAACCCTAATAAAAACTCACCTGCCTGTAGCTTTCTAGTAACCGTTCAGACCGTGATTAGCTTGTTCAGGTGTGTTTGATTAGGGTTGAAGCAAAACTCTGCAGGGCTACGGCTTTCCAGGACAGACGTTCGCCACCCCTGATATAGAATTAAAAAGCAGATTTTTGCTGGTCTAATGCTCTTTATTAGATGTGTGGTCGACCCTGGCTAGCGGAGAATAGCAGAAATCCTGCTGCGTGTTTGTGCTCCAGCTTGAACTGTGGCCAAACCTATCATTGGTGAACAAGTTCTTTGAAAAAGCTCTTTTAAGGAGAACCACAATGTTGTCCAAACAGCTTCAGGATCCCACATTGACTGCTGGATCCAGAAATAACAGGACAACTAACTTGGTCATGAGGCTTGTTGGTGTGGATGTGCTATTTCAGAGGTAAAAATGGAAAATTGGTTTGTTTGGGCGTCCAACTTTTTTCCATGTACGGTACAACAACAAATTTACCAAAAGTTTGAAGCTTGCTGGTGGAATTTATATAGGAATTATAGCTGGACATTAGGTAGTCCAAGCTATCCATTAGTGCTGATAACTGATAGAACATCTTTGACTAGAAGCAAACCAGCTTCCAGTTGGTTATGCCATCTTAGCTGGTCTACCAGCTTGTGGTCCAGATGGTTGACCAGCTGGAAACCAGGTACCATGTTCCAAAACACAGTTACCATCCTAAAGGTGTAGTTCACCCAAAACTACTGTGAGACAAGAACCGATTGAGTCTAATTTGTGAACAGATCATTCAAGGTGGTTTCAAATGATTCATTAAAGATCTGACTCAAACAAATTATTTGTTCACAATCACAAAATAATATAGGTCAGATGTTAAGATTTTCCCCTGTAATTAATAACTAATTGTAGTGACCAGAGTCAGTAAGTCAGAGACTGGTTCATTCTGATTTGTAAATGAATAATTCTGATTTTGTGAACCACTGAAATGATTAGGGCTGGGCAAAAAAAAAAATTTGATTTTTCGATTAATCGTTTTTTTTTTAATGACGTCGATTCGATATCGATTCTCAAAAGCTGCGAATGGATCTTTTCCGGGATTTATTTCAGCACACATTTAAAACAAGATCTGATTAACGTGAATCTTATCATTAGTCTTTTCCACTAGATGTTACAACAGAAAGCCTGTCATTCATTAAGCGCTTATCATGGCCATACGCATGATTCGCAATGCTCAGGTTAAATGCTATAGTAATACTATAAATCTGAAGCATTTGATATCACGCATAAGGTAAACCTCTGTTGTGCAGCACTTTGTTTGCCAAAAAATAAAAGGGTTTTATTTTCATTTGATTAGGATAAATTAAATTAATGTTTTATGCCTTCATCTGATTACCAGAAAAATTAAGAACATTTTATAGGGCCCTATTATTGTTTAAAAAAGGACCCATACAAAAAAAAAGAGTATAGGTTTAAAATACAAGCATGTGGCTTAATTTCTTTTTATTAATTCACCATTTGTAAACTGATGTTTACTGTTCATTTTTTTAGAAATATCAATAGCATTTGTATTAAAACTATATTCACTGAATGAAATCAAAAAATCGAGAATCGAATCGAGAGCTTGCGAATCGAAATCTAATCGAATTGGGACATCTGAATCGATACCCAGCCCTAGAAATGATTCATTGAAGATCTGACTCAAAATAATTATGTTTGCAGTCACAAATTAATGTATTTAGGGCAGATGTTAAAGGAACACTCCACTATTTTTGAAAATAGGCTCATTTTCCAACTCCCCTAGAGTTAAACAGTTGAGTTTTACCTTTTTCGAATCCATTCAGCCGATCTCCGGGTCTGGCGGTAGCACTTTTAGCTGAGATCATTGAATCTGATTAGACCGTTAGCATCTCGCTCAACGCAAGGTGGTCACGTTGGTTATGTTGGCTGAAGTTAGCCTGTTTCCAGGCGCTGCGTAATATCATTGCGGCTGCTGCACCCATGGTACGGCAGCAAAGTTCCTTGATTATTACGCCGGAATGAGAGTAGAGTTCCTAGCCATACCGGCCTAGAAAATCGCAACTTTTCATTTTCCGTAGGTCTTAGTACACAATGTAACTACAGAAGAGTCACGTTTTAAATAGGAAAAATATCGAAACTCTTTGGTCATTTTTGAGCGAGATGCTAACGGTCTAATCAGATTCAATGATCTATGCTAAGCTACAGCTAAAAGTGCTACGCCAGACCCGGAGATCGGCTGAATGGATTCGAAAACGGTAAAGCTCAACTGTTTAACTCTAGGGGAGTTGGAAAATGAGCCTATTTTCAAAAATAGTGGAGTGTTCCTTTAAGATCTCCCCTCCAGTTAGCTGCTAATTGTTGCAAACAGATTATTGATTCAGTAAGTCAGGAACTCATTCATTCTGATTTGTGAACAAATTGTTCTAATTTTGTGAACCATTTCAAATTATTTTTTGAAAATCTGACTCAAATGAATAACTTGCTCACAATCACAAACTAAGTTAGGGCAGATGATTTGATTTTCCCCTCCGCTTAGCTACTAATCGTTGCGACTGGACTATTAAGTCACTAAGTTAAGAACTTATTCATTTTGATTTGTGAATGAATTGTTCAGGTAGTTAGGTAAGGTAGTTAGGGCAGATGTCAAAATTCAGTATGAATTCCTCAAATTATGGTTTGCTTGTCACATTAAGTTGTCAAATAAGTTCAATATAAGTCATATAAACCACTTTTATGATGTATTTTTTTAAGCTTAAAATCTCCAGATTCATTCTTTGTAAAGGAAAAGAGCAACCAGCACATTTCTTAGAATTTCTCCTTTTCTATTCTATGAAAAAAGTTAGAAACGACATGAAAGTGAGTAAACAGAATGTTAATTTTTGGGTTAAAGCTGTTTTTAGCTGGATTTTCCAGCAGGCCCGTCATCTTAGTTTTGCTGTTGCTTTCTCACTGCATGGCTGTGAGCTGCTCTGTCCAGCGGCCAATGCCCTATTTAGAGCAGCATGTGTCTGTTGATGCCACATGCATATGCAATTTCCGAGAAGGCTTGTTGGCCTTGATTGGGATGCCATGGAAACCGAGGAACACGGCTGAATGGGAGCGTGTGCGGATGTATCTGGGACGACTGTGGGGTAAGAAGCACAGCTCATAAAAATCCAGCCGTCATCTTCACGTGGTTAATTTTTATCAAACCATCTTTGTCAACAAACGTCCCAGTCGCTGTTGACTGTTGCTGCTTGAGGGGCAGCGACAGAATATAAATGCAGGTTGAATAATGAAGTTGGCTGATGCTGTCTGACCAGCTGACTCTTGAAGTCTGGTTATAATTGCAGACGAATATGTCTTCATAGGTTTTGTTTATATTTTTACACAAATCTGATTTGGTTTCAAATCATGATCTTTAGGGATGACTATCGGTGCTTTCATTTTGCAAATGATGCAATCTGATATTTTTATTCAGATATTGTTGTGAATATCCGATCAATCACTTTTCTTTTTCTTTCCTAGACTCTACATCGAAAAAGGCTTTCATAACAGAGGTACATTGCTTTTCTCACATATCAACAATATCTACTGTTAGACTGCAGAAGAACCTGTTTATGCAGGGATTGCAGGTTGGTGGTATCTCATATTTACACTCTTTATACCAGATGCCTTCATCGTCAGGCCAGCCAGCCCATGGGAAGAAGATTGGACACAGAGGAGTGGACGCTTCTGGAGAAACCACGTATAAGAAGGTGCATTGGGCCTACTCAATTTCAGCAACTTTTTCTTGATTTGATATTGATTCCGTTCAGATTATTTTAGTTACTTCTAGGGATGGACAGTATATCGGTACTATATCAGCCGATATTAGTATTTTTTTAATCTTACAATTTATTTTTTAATAAAAAAAAAAAAACTAGGATTTTTATTTTTTAAACATTTTTATATCAGTTCATATTGTATATTTAATTGTACATGCCAGTTTCCTCTCTTTTTATATTTGAATTACCTTTGCCATCATCTAATGTTGACCTAAAATTAATCACTTTTTCTAGATTCGATACTGATTCCAGATTATTTTAGTTACTTCTAGGGATGGACAATTTATCGGTACCATATCAGCTAATATTAGTTTTTTTTATCTTACATTTTTTTTTATTATCTTTTTATTATTTTAGTTACTTCTAGGGATGGACAATTTATCGGTACCATATCAGCTAATATTAGTTTTTTTTATCTTACATTTTTTTTTATTATCTTTTTATTATTTTTTTACATTTTATATCGGTTAATATTGTATATTAAATTGTACATTCAGATTATTTTATTTACTTCTAGGGTTTGCACAATATATCTGTACCATATCAGCCGATATTAGGACATTTTTAGTGTATAAAAAAATTATTAAATTTTTCAATGTTTTATATCGATTGATGTGTATTTAATTGTCCATGCTAATTTGCCACCATCTAACGTTAACCTAAATTTACCTCAAATTTTAAACCAATAGTTCACTTTATAAATATTTTCAGAATGTAAATTTGAATTTTGTAATGCCTAAATTCACTTTAGTGTTTAACATAACTGATTTTAGTTTAAAGTTTAATTTTTCATTTTTTTTTCACAAAATAGTGTTTAATTGTAATATTGACTGTTCATCAGTTATTGGGCGTATTATATACAAAATAACTGCATGTATAATAATAACATGCAAATTATTTTTTGGTTTATCTGTTTCGACCAGAATTGTAATATTGCTAATAAGCTCAGCAGAAATGTGGCACCAGATGACATCTAAACAGAAAATGCAGAAGATCAATCAATGGGTTTAGGGTAAATATTTATGAGACTCACATAATCTATATCCTCTTCAGACCACATCTTCAGCACTCAAGGGGGCCATTCAGCTAGGGATTGGCTACACGGTTGGCAACTTGAGTTCCAAGCCTGAGCGGGATGTCCTCATGCAGGATTTCTATGTGGTGGAGAGCATCTTCTTTCCCAGGTGCGCTGTCTCTCTGAAGTTGAGGGTGTATGTGGAATTTCACATGAAAAAAAAATGATCTTATCTTTGTTCTTCCAGTGAAGGGAGCAACTTGACGCCAGCCCATCATTTCCCAGACTTCCGTTTCAAAACCTATGCTCCCGTCGCCTTTCGTTACTTCAGAGAGCTCTTCGGGATACGGCCGGATGACTATTTGGTGAGAAATATAAGCTAAAGGCTGGATTTTTATAATAAATGCTTGCATTTATTTAGGATTACTGAAGAATCACTCAAGCAAAATTCATTGTCATTTGTTTATGTGTATCTCAATCTGTGATTGCCTTTAGTATTCGCTCTGTAACGAACCACTGATCGAGTTGTCCAATCCTGGAGCCAGTGGCTCAGTCTTTTACGTCACGAAGGATGATGAGTTCATCATTAAGACAGTCTTGCACAAGGAGGCAGAGTTTTTGCAGAAGCTTCTTCCTGGATATTACATGGTGAGTTGCTGTACTTTGACTGATACATTTCAAAGTAGTGGTCAACCAATAAGTCGGATGCCGATATCTCGAAAGCGGGGTGCATATATTATACAACACATATATATTGCATGGTATAGTACAGTCTAATAATAGAAAATGATGTGTAGCCTTCATAAAATTAGTGAAATGCTTATTTTAGACAGTAATCCATAATGGTGAGCTAATATTTATGGCCAAATATCAACTTGAAAATAATTATCGGCTTATCAGTATCGGCCAGAATTATTGGTGTAGAATTAGTGATATTGGTTTTCAGTGTCCAATATAATATCTAGAGAGTAAATTAGCTGATAGTTAATATAATGCTGCTAAATATGATGCAGTACATGTATTCTATATTTAATATGTATTGGAACTATCGCCGGATTATCAGCCTGGCTGATATATCGGTGTATCACTGATGCAGACCTTTATACAGTCTTCATCTGCAGTTTAAGCTAGGATAAAATATACTGTTTATGTTGCATTGTTAAATGTTTTATATTTTTTGAGAAACATGCTCTCTAGATTTCTAGCCCATTATCACATGCTGTCACAAATCAACTGCCTGGTTAAACAACAACACTGCTGATTACCCAACAAGTTATTTTGAACTAATTTCTTCCCCGAGGGAATATGTCTACTATTTACCTGAATAACAAAACAAATGACACCATTAGCATGTAAGCCGTGCCCGTTCCAGTTTTCTGTCTCCAGTGGACCATTTCATTCCACAATATAAGCACAAAAGGGTTCGGTTTCCAAGAGAACATGAGTATTTTTTTTGAGTAGATCATGCCTAAATGGGTTCTCAGTGTCAGCAGAGTCTAACCAGCGACAGGCTTGGCTTGTTCCATCCGTTCATCTGGAGCTAATGAGCCCATGAATGGTGACGGATCAGTTGTTGTTTAGCAACAGTGCTGACCTTGGCCAGTTCGTGGTCTACAGAAAACTGTCTTTATTACTGTCTGGCTCTTTTCCTCATTCTGTTTCTCTTCTTTGATCATATCTTGTAGGACATGTCACCTGTATGCGAAGGTGATGGGTGTCACAAAGCTTTTCTAGGTTGGATATCTGCTTCATTGCTTTGCTTTTGTGTGGTGATTTTTAAGAGGATTTAAACTCCAAACTAATTGGAATCAGGTGGTTTTACTATGCTCTGGAACATTAACTGGCAAAATGAATGTCATTGGCTTAAGAAAGGGGTTTTTGCGGTTGAATGGAGTGTTTTGTGTCTGGAATGCGGAAAACAAATAATAACCTTTACCTTAATTTAATGCATAAATGCTTTTAATAAACTTGGATTAACAAAAGTGTGATTTGCATGCCATTTAAAAAAATTTGTTTTTGTTTTTGTTATGATAAACAGATGTGCGTTGCGATATTCACATGATTTTTTAAAAACATTTATACATACTGTTCCTAATCTGTGTGACTTTTTTCCCTTGTAGAACACAAAAGATGTTTTGATGAATATTCACGGTGCTCTTTTCCAAATTGTGATGCCATCAAGAAATGTCAAAAAAGCTAAATAAAAGTATCATAAACGTTCTTTTTGTGTGAGGAAAAAGCCAAAAAATTATTTGATGAATATCTAATTTTCAATTCAAACTCGAGTTGCAAGTTCGTAAAACTTTTCACAGTACATTTTGGCATGCAAAATTGGAATAAAAAATGTATAAATAATGACAAAACTTTAATTTTGGGGTGAAATATTACTTTAAAGAATTCATAAATTAGTTGGAAAAGGCCGAAAAGTTGTTTTTTGCTGAATATCTTTCTGTGGGTCTTAAAGTGGTCTTAAAAAGTATTAATTCAACCTTCCACAATTTAAGCCCTAAAAAAGGTCTTAAATCAGAGCTGAAAGTCTTAAATTCATAATCATGGAATTAAATTTTGTATACACTGCAAAAAAACAACAACAGCAATTCAAAACTCTTTTCAAACTTTGAAGCGTTGCTAATACAAGACATTTACTTTTAGACATGTTGACATATTGTGTTCCACTCAATTTAATTTAATACATTTTCTTCGTCTTAAAAAGTCTTAAATTTACCATCATAAAACCTGCAGAAACCCTGTCATTTGTATTTTCACACATTTAAACTTAAGTTGCAACTTGTCGCAATACATTTTGGCGCACAAAATTTGAATGAAATGTATTTAACAATGACAAAATAATGTCAAAACTTTAATTTTGGGTTGAAATATTTTGTTAAAGAATTAATAAATTAATTGGAAAAGGCAAAAAATGTGTTTAATTGCTAAATATCTTATATGAGGGTTTCTGTGGGTCTTAAAATGACCCTGTCATTTGTATTTTCACACATTTAAACTAAGGTTGCAAGTTTGTCAAACCTGATGCAACAAATTTTTGTGCAAAGAATTTCAATATCAGGTGAATAAATGATGACAGAATTGTAATTTTAAAGTGAACTATTCCTTTAAGGAATAAATAAATGCATTATACAAAGCATGTAACCAACCAATACAAACGTACACATTCTTCGACAGATGTTTAGCACTTACGTTTGAATCTTTGTCCGCTTTGACTAAATCGTGTTTGATTTTTCAAATGTTTGTTTCCTACAGAACTTGAATCAGAATCCTCGCACCTTATTGCCCAAGTTCTTCGGGCTGTACTGCATACAATCAGGTGGGAAGAACATTCGGATGGTGGTCATGAACAATGTTCTGCCCAGGGTGGTGCGCATGCACCTCAAATACGACCTGAAGGGGTCCACGTACAAGCGACGGGCCTCTAAAAAAGAGCGGGAAAAGGCGAAGCCCACTTTCAAAGACCTTGATTTCATGCAGGACATACAAGAGGGTCTCATGCTGGACACAGACACGTACAGTGCCCTGGTCAAGACGTTACAGAGAGACTGTTTGGTAAGTTGTCCCTAGTGTGCTGCTGTCAGAGCGGACAAGCCATTCAGGACGAATATTGATGTGTTTTTGGTGTATAGGTCTTGGAAAGCTTTAAGATTATGGATTATAGTTTGCTGCTGGGAGTTCACAACATCGATCAGGCGGAGAAAGAGCAGCAGATGGAGGGATCTCAGGGCAACAGTGATGAAAAGAGGCCGCTGGCACAGAAAGCGCTCTACTCCACTGCCATGGAGTCCATTCAGGGAGCGTCGGCCTGTGGAGAAGAGATTGACACTGAGGACACGTGAGTTGCTGAAATTAGTCCATGTTTTGACACTTATAAAGGATATTTAAAAAAATATGTGATGCATTTTCAGATATATCAAAAAATATGTATAAGTAACAGGGATGCAATTACAAAATTGTAATACAATTTTTCTTTTCTTTTAAAAACTATAAATTTGTGTTTGTAATCTTTAGAAAATCTGGCGAAAAATTCAAAAAATCGAAGTCCCATCATGTTAGATATCCTATTTCATCTGCAAAGTGCATTTATGGAAGCTAAAGGATTGCAAACAACAAATTCATGTTGACTTTTTTTAGAATTGTTTTTGTTGTTGTTGGTGTGTTTTTATTTGTTTATATTTATAATTTATCAGTCAGTTTTTTTTCTCTTTTTTTCTTTCTCATTTGGGAAATGCTTTTCAGCATGTTTCTATTTTTATTTTGCCTAATTAATTTTAAATGTGTTTTCTTTTTTACTTAAAAAAAAAAAGGTATGAATTTGTGTTTGTAATCTTTATAAAATATGGAAAAATAAATTGTCCTTTTAGAGGTCCTGTTTCATCTGGAAATGTATCACGTTATGGAAGTAAATAACATGCAAACAACAAATTCATATTGACTTATGAAAAATACAACTTTGTTAGAAGTGAACATAAAAGTTATTTATTCATTTTTTTTTGTTTCTATTTAAACTTTATCAGTCTTTTTTTTTACTCAGATTTATTTTTAAAGATTTAGCTAACTTTGGGAAACACTTTTCAACATGTTCCTGTTTTTGCCTAAATAAGTAAAATATGTTTTTTCCTTTAAAAAACGTGTTTGTAATCTTTATAAAATCTTGATAAAATTACGTTTTCAGTTAGAGATCCTGTTTCATCTGGAAATGTGTCACATTATAGAAGTATATAACCTGCAAACAACAAATTCATGTTTACTAACCAAAAGGTGAACAAAGACCGTTTTCTTTTGTGTTTTCTGCTTTGTTTTGATCTTATTTTCATTTTATTTTGTTTGGTTTTATTTAATATTTATATAAACACAGATTTTTAGAAGTGAACAAAGAAATTATTTGTTGTGTTTGGTTTTTTGTTTTGTGTTTTCTCTGTTTTAATCTTAATTCTTTTTCATGTTTATTAGCTATTTTTCTTCTTAAAGTATTATTATTTATTTTTTATTCAGCCAACTTTGGGAAATACTTTTCAGCACTGTTGCAATTTTATTCCCAAAGGTATAGCTACACATTTCATTTCAGTATTGAACAAGATTTAGACTTTTTTTTTTCATAGCTTTCATAGTTATTTATTTTCATATGTTTTTTTGTTTGTTTTTTTGCTTGTCAGGATGGGCGGTATTCCTGCAGTCAATGGAAAAGGAGAGCGTCTGTTACTCTACATTGGAATAATCGACATCTTGCAGTCTTACAGGTGCTTGCGTCAATCTCTCCGACTCATGCCACTTACTATTTACATCAAGAAGTGTGTGATTCATTTCTGCCAGTATGATTTGGAAGCACTATGGAATAACTTTATTCATTTTCTGTTTAGGTTAATAAAGAAATTGGAGCATACGTGGAAGGCTCTAGTCCATGATGGGGTAAGAAATACATTGAATTTCATTATATTATCTAGATATATTATCTATATTATCTATTATCTAGAAAAGACCTTCTGAAATACATCACTGTCCCTTGCAAGACGCTCCATTTCATCACTTTGGAAGAAAAGCTTTGGCCAAGTTTAACATCCAGCTGTGTTTTCAGACTCTGTGGTCTCCGACCTTCAATATAATTCCTCATACTTCCTTAATTTTCATATTAATAAAGCATGATTTGCTGCGGTACATTAGCATGAATGGGGTTTAGTGAGAATTACAGGGTTTTGGAGAAAATGCTTGTGAAATGTGCACTAATTTGGGGCTGTTTTTCTCAGAGGATGTGCTAATTGTGCTATTGCTGGATATGTATATACCACACACACGCACACACTCATTTTCTCTCGGCTCAGCTGTGAATAAAGGCGATTTCTCCAACCCTGCCTGTGACGCAACAGTCTATGCCATATTGCCAATGGCTCACAGTTCATTTGCATGCTAATTAGGTTATTTATAGACCTAGAGCTGGTATATCTTGATTTGCGTCAGCTGGAGGTGACAGATAGAGTATATATTACCTAAAAGCTGACTGGTTGACTTCAGGAATAATGGTTGTTAAACTGGAAACTGACATGAAAAATGTGTAAATATGATTTTAATTTGGACTTCTCCTGTCCAGTTGAGCATATGTATAATGTAAATGAATGCATGTTTTTGTGTGATTTATATGTGTGAAGTAAACAAATGTGGCAGGTTCAGTGCTAGTTAAGCTCTATGACAGAAGTTCTGGCACAAATTACCACAGAATCATGATTTTGATTTGAGAATCACAATTTGATTTAAAACCTGCATGAAGATTATTAGTTCTGAACAAACTGTTGTTTTTCATTTTGTCAGCTGGATTAAGTCAAAATGTGCTGTAACTTTTCAGATTGATTGATTGAGATGGTTCACTTATTCTTTCTTTCTTTTTTTCACTCTTCAGGACACAGTGTCTGTTCACAGACCGTCTTTCTATGCAGACAGGTTCTTCAGATTCATGAGCACTACTGTATTCAGAAAGACTTCCTGTGAGTGAATTGCTTCTGAGTTGAACTTGCATTGCTCAATTTCATAGATTAATTTCATATTCTGCATGAAAAGTTACTGTTAAAGGAATAACGATGCACCGATATGAAGTTTTGGCTGACACCAATAAATATTTATTTTAATAACCAATAATGGATAAATGGTTCTTGATAAAATTCTATAGTATTTGGTCTAAATAAATTAATAAATAAAACTTTGAAATTAATCATTTAAATGCTACAAATGAATTTAGGCATCACAGCATTTTAATGTACAGTAGAAAATGGATATTAAATTGGTTATTAAATTATATTATGAAATACTAAAATTTCTAATTGCATATAAACTGCATATAATTGCATATAAACTGAAATTAAAACTAAAAATATAAAGATAAACCTAATTCAAAATCTTAACAAATATTATAATAGTATAGAAATAATACTAAAATTGCACTGCATACAACAAAAGCATAACATGAACATGGACTATCAAACAGACAAAATTATTAGTTTTTTAAAGATTAACTTTAAGTGGTCAAAGTTAGAACCATTAGATATTGGCAAAGGTAATCTGAATTTTAAAAAGAGAAAATGAGCATGTACGAGTAAATATCTAGTATTGATCGGTTTTAAAAAGCTGTAATATCGGCCGATAAATTGTTTTTAAAGATGAACTTTAAGTGATTAAAGTTAGAAGCATTACATAATAGCAAAGGTAGTCTAAATTTAAAAAAGAGGAAATGAGCATGTACAAGTAAATGTCTGGTATTGATCAATTTTAAAAATCATTATATTGGCCGATAACCGATAAATTGCCGATATATTGTGCAATCATATGAAAGTAAAACGGTATTTTAAAAGTGACGGCTAAAATTTATATGACACTTATGTCACCAAATAAAAAGACAAGTTAGTTATTACCTATTGGCTATCATACTTGATATTTATTTTTAGAGAAAAACGAAAGCCACAGTAATTTTCAGGAAAATCCTCACCTTAACCCTGCTAATGAAAAAATCGACATACTTCATTTGCGCTCATGATATTGAACGTATTTTATTACGGAAGTGCATTATAAACCTCATTCTTTCAGCACTGAAATCCTCTCCGTCAAAGAGGGGTCGTGGGGGTCTGGCTGCAGCCAAATACAGCGGTCCCGGGGCGGCTTGGTCGGCCAGCCAGCTGCCATTTGTAAGAGACGAAAACATCTACGACTTGAGAGGAGCCCGAAGCTTTCCCACGCTGGAAGACGATGGTAAACAATAGATGAAGTACATTCTTCATTCTCAACAATGAGAACTTAATGGCTTTAGTCACGCTTAAATTCGGTTTCAGGTCGGGCAGATGTACTTCCCTGCACCCCTCCCTCGTTTGAGGAGGCCACCACAGCCTCCATCGCCACCACGCTCTCCTCCACCACCTCCCTTTCCATCCCAGAACGCTCCCCGTCGGACACCTCTGAACACCCGCGCTACAGGTAACACCCCGTCTGTCGCTCTGTAATATTTCCACGTCTGGGCTGTAGCAGGTACAATAAACTCTGTTTTCTTCAATACAGGAGACACACCCAGTCCAGCCATGAAGAAACGTAAGTAAAACACACTGGTCTGCTAGATCTTCTGAAGCCGTATGATAGTTTTGTGGCTGAAATTACTGAGTTTGTTTCATTAGCAGACTTTACTATGTTTATATCTCTCTTGGGTTTGATCTTCTCCTTAAAGGGTTAGTTCACCCAAAAATGAAAATTCTGTCATTAATTACTCACCCTCATTTCGTTTCAAACCCGTAAGACCTTCGTTCATCTTCGGAACACAAATTAATATATTTTTGATGGAATCTGAGAGCTTTCTGACCCTGCATAGACAGCAACCCAAGTCCAGAAACGTAGCAAGGAGATCTGTAAAATAATCCATGTGACATCAGGGGTTCAATATCAAGGGCTGATGCTCTCCAAAATGGCGCTACAGGGTGATGCGGAGATGAATTGTTAAATAAAGGCTTTTTTTTTTCTTTTGGGCACAAAATGTATTCTCGTAGCTTTGTAAAATTACGGTTGAACCCTTGATGTCACATGGATTATTTTACAGATCTCCTTGCTTCATTTTTGGGTCTGGGAACATTTCAGTTGCGTTGCTGCCTATGCAGGTTCAGAGAGCTCTCAGATTCCATCAAAAATATCTTAATCTGTGTTCTGAAGATGAACGAAGGTCTTACGGGTTTGAAACGACATGAGGGTGAGTAATTAATGACAGAATTTTCATTTTTGGGTGAACGATCCCTTTAATGAAAGGAGAACTGTTAGTTATGTAGTTCATGTGGTTTAGTTGAGCCCTCTGCTGGTCTTGTTGTAGAATGCAGGATGAGGACCAGCAAACCATCACAGTGGAGGTGGAAGTGGAGGGACGATATGACAGTGAACCCACCCTCGCGGCTCCCCAGGTATCGCCGGAGATCAGGTACGGACTCAAAACTGAGAATCTGCTTTCACGTAATATTTAATATGTACTTATGAAAGTCAGATATTGTTGGACATATTGAAAAAAAAGGTCTTGATGAAGTGTAATGGAATTAAGGGCAAGTAAAAAAAAAAGAGGCTTTAAATGCAAATGCATTGCCGCTAAATCAAAAGCAGTGTGGATGTAAGATCAGGGGTATCATGGGAATGAGGAATTAGATGTGCTCCATTCAACTGAGCTCACCTGCTGTAGCTCCTCATAGTGATGGGAAAATGACACCATGACAACTGCCACAGAGGAACATAACCAAATAGGAAGCGCTTAATCACATTGGCAATAAGCACCCAAATGTTTTTGTGTTAGTCAGTACCAGTGGCAAAATACCCAAAAGTTTAATTTCTATAATAAATAGTAATATAACATGAAAGTATAATTCAATTTATTCCTTCTTTATTTAAATAGTATTTATTTATTAGAAAATATGTATTATTTATTCGTCCTCGTTTTACAGCAAATCAATGTGACTTTTGAAAGATATTTTGAAGAAAGTTCATGCTACACACTTCCATACAAATTCTGTAGCATTAAATAAAACTAAAACTATTAAAAAATAGTTTTCGGGGATTGATTGAGGTAAAAAAAATTAAGTAAAATAAATTGAATATATATATTAGTTGAAAAGCTTAAACTTAAAAAACGTACAAATGAGAAACAGAAATAAACACGTTAAAGTACTAAAATTACACCAAAAAAAATAAATAAAATAAAATCAATTAAAGCGGTATAGAAATATATATAAAAAATAATAATAAAAATGACAAAGGTGCATAACAAATTTACTCAAATGTAAACAACAATTAAAATGATAACTGAAAATATAAAAATAAAAGCTAATTCAAAATATTCATAAAAAATATAAATGTCTATAAATAATTCTAATATAGCACTTCATAGATCAAAAGTATATAGTGACCATGGGCTGACAAATGGATAAAAAAGCACCAAAAAAGTGGCCCATACAATTTAGACTCTATATTCCAACTTTTCTGAAGTGTGAATTTTATGGTTTATTCACTGAAAATCTCTAAATTGTTTTTTATTTTCCTCTTCCACATGTATAGTGAAGCTGCAGGGACGTTTCTAGAAGCCTCGTCCTCCTCCGTCCCGGCGAGCCCCAGGATAGTGGTAGAATCTGACGGCGGCAGTCAGGCCTCAGGCTGTACAAGCCGAGCCTCTGTGGATGAGGATGAGGATGTGCCAATTACAGACATTTATTTTGTAAGCCCTCCACTCCTATGAACTAAATATGTGTTTTTAATAATGTTATGAAGCATTTATATAGAGTAAGAACCACCTAAGGTCAAAACACAAAAGAACATAATCAGATGAGTATGCACTGCAAAATATAATTTTTAATCAGTATTTTTTGTCTTGCTTTCCAATAAAAGTATTTAAACATGATACAGCTTTTCAATTAAAATATTAAGACTTATTAAGAGAAAAAATCTTGGATTATGTTTATTTTTTGTAATCCATAGTCAAATATGTTTTCTACTTTTTAAAGTAGTTTTTAAACTCTACAACAACAATATTTAGTGAGGTTTATAGTTAAAATATATTTTATAAAAATCCAATGCCGTAACTTTAAAATTAATTTATATGTATCTTGATTAAAGGATGTTTATATATTTTAACTAAAAAAAATCCCATAAGAAACTGTATATTGCATAAAGAAAATTGAAGCCTGTTTTAGATCCAGTAACATTTTTGCATTATTTTTATGACAATATTTTCAGAATATTTTCCCTCTAATTCACATTTACGTGCTCATTACTGTCATGCAAAAAGAATATATTATTTAAATTGTAAAGTATGTATACATCATGGTAGCATTTGCTATATATTTTCAATTTATGCTGGTTCTATTTTTTGTTAATGTAATTACAGTTACAAGTATGTCAAATATTTAAATATTTAATAAAAATGTAAGGGGTTTATGCCTAACTGTAATGAAAGTAATGTCACAGCAGTAATAAAAATAAGACTTTAAGATTTTATTCATGTTTAGATTTAGACCACCTCTTATTTATTGCTAAATGCTGAGGATATCATTGTATGTGTTAATTTTGAACACCAGTACAATAGACACATTCTATTGAATGACAAAACACATGGACGTGCCAATGCATCCACAGGGATGTCTGAGAGGACTAACTTGAGAAATGGCCGTCATTATCATTTGTTAGTCCCAAAGAGGCTCTTAAATCTAGAGGCTTAGAGACGTGCAAGCGCCACCTCTTGAATTATTCATCCATTAACACCCTGCACCAGCTGCTCTGTCACTCTTTTTCTCTTATTAATGGAGCTGTCAATTTTTTTATTTATCGACTGTTAAACAGCACTCCATCTCCTTGACTTTTTCTTTATCTTTCTGCCATCTTTCATTGCCTGCCGTCTCTGTTTGTCCATATCTCTTTTGTAAGTTCTCTGATGGCAGCATCTGTGTTTGTCAGCCCGTCACACACAGAAGAAGGCACGCTGTAAGTTTTATAGCTGAAACACTTTAAACTAGTTGTAGAGGTAGTTTTAGAAAAGTTAGCCTCTGAAGTTTAGCCTAGTGTAGCTTTTTGTAACCCTTGACTGTTGAAGAGGATGTTGTTGTTACTGTACCTTTAAGACTTCTGTATGCAAATGAGCCAACATAAGTGTGAAATTGTTTTGAAAACTTAAATGTATTTTAGCTAGTTTCCAAGGCAACATTTCTACTTTTCATTGTTTAATGGGTTAGTTCACCCAAAAATGAAAATTAGCCCATGTTTTACTCACCCTCAAAGCATCCTAGGTGTATATGACTTTCTTCTTTCAGACGAATCCAATCAGAGTTATATTAAAAATTGTCCTGGCTCTTCCAAGCGTTAGAATGGGAGTAGGTGGGTGTTTTTGTTCAACAGTCCTTAAGTAGTCAAATAAAGTGCGCACATCCATAATAGAAACCTCACACGACTCCAGGGGGTGAATAAAGGCCTCCTGTAGCGAATTGATACGTTTCACAACGTATCGGAAAATATCAATATTTATAAACATTATCTCACTTTCGCTGTCTGTCGAAACGCGGAAGCCGTTCCTGGCGGATGACGTCGCGCACGCGCCTCTGAGATATGCTAGGGTGCATCTCAATCAGCTCCCTAGCTCCCGAGCTTGTGAATCAGTAGATCGTGTACACAAATTCAGGCACTGGTAAGTTCCCTGACTCACTGCACATTAGGACAGTGATCACTCGAATTCCAGTGGCATGATTATGTACAGCGTCAAAGGACAAAATAGTAGAACGTCACTGCTTGAATTAATAAACAACAGACAGGACCGATCTCTTTTTGATATATTTTTTTTATTCTCTTTAAACACATCGTTCTGTTACATGTTCTTACAACATTTCAGCCGAATATTAATTATAAATGTTAATTAGATGTGTTCAATTCCTGTCTAGCAATGTGCGTTTATGTTGAAATATACGAATTATGTTGAAAAAAACAGGTGGTCTTTCTTCTATAGCGTGTCATTATATTTATCGAGTTGGCTCGTGTGATTTCTGTTTTACGCTTCAGAAATGTGACGTTATTTCCGGTAAGGGAGCATAGTGAGCTCTGATGCTCCCTAGTTTTTGCGGTGCATTGTACGAAGCTGAAAGTTCAGTGCAAACAGAGATATCGTCTTTTAAAATTCTGGCAGTTTAATGCCTACAAAAATGGCTGGTAGGGACTACAACAAGTTACTTCCCGGGTTCGTGACATCACAAACCCAGATAAACCCCTCCCCCGGGAACATGTAACGAAGGGGGCGAGGCCATGCTGTGCTGCTTTAGAGAAGAGGAAGAGAAAACTAGAGGTGCACGTAAAAATCTATTCATATATATGAATAGCGATTCTGTCTTCTAACGATTCTAATGGATTCACAAGTTTCAAAATCAATGTTCTAAAGCAGCGGTTCTTAATACTGTTCCTCGCGTTCCCCTGCTCTGCACACGCTCTGCATCTCTCTCTCTCTCTCTCTCTCTCTCTCATTCAGCTCAGCTCCAACAATGAACTGTTCCATTTATACACTTATTTTCACATAGCTATGAGAAGTGTTAAACATGGACGCGCGTGCAGTTGCCGTACTGTATTAAAGCTTTAATCAAGATAAAACCGTATATTAAAAGCTAACATAAGCAGTAGCATTTACAAATAACAGCATATCTAAAAGTATGAGACAACAACAAACAAAAAACATAGGCCTACCATTAAAAGCCGTGCTTGCACAGGTTCTGCACAATCCTCAATAATATCCTCTGCTTCTCAATCGGGCTCAAACTGATATGCGATATTAACGATGCTGTTATTTACAATACAACCGGAGCACATGCCGCTAAGGTGAGGGGCGGGACGCTTAGATGCATACTAGAGGCGGTTTAGCCAATCACAACACACTGGGCTAGCTAACCAATCAGAGCCCATCGCCTTCATAAGGGGCTTCATAAAAGAAGGAAATGATCAGCGTGTTTCTCAGAGAAGGGACAGAGTGGTGTGGAATAAAGGTAAATATGTGAAAAATAATGCGTTTTTAAAAAAACGAAGCATTAATACATGTTAGACTGCACCCCATAAACACAATCAAGCCTAGGAAAAAAACAGTGAACCACCCCTTTAATTCCCATCAGTTACAGTTCTTGGAACATCTGATGTCTTTCCCTTTCATACGCTATACACATTAAAAAAAACATGCTCAACCGTTTCTGGTAGTCCACATTTATCACAATTGCCTGTTTCATGTTTCCCTATTATGTGCAAACTGTTATTTAATGCTACATGTCCTATTAAGCAAAGTTTCCTTACTTTAGCAAAGGAAAACCAGTTTCCTCTTGGCTTATATTGAAATCCTCCTACATTTTTCTTTACAAATCCTCGTTTTGTGCTTCTAATTCGTGACCGGCGTTTTGTTTTGCTGTCTCTCCTCCGCACTTCTGTGTTCGTCACTAATCACCGGCATGAGCGCTGCGCATATGTCCTACATCATTCGCTGGAACGACAGTCAGCAGAAGTGAGAAAAAATTGTATAGAAAGGTTTAAATATGGCTATTTTTCTTACAAAAATGCAACAATTCGCTACAGGAGGCCTTTATTCACCCCCGCAGAGCCGTGTGAGGCGAGTTTTATCATGGATGTGCGTGCTTTGTTTGACTACTTTTGGACTGTTGAACAAAAACACCCACCTACTCCCATTCTAATGCTTAGAAAAGCCAGGACAATTTTTTATATAACTCTGATTGGATTTGTCTGAAAGAAGAAAGTCATATACACCTAGGATGCCTTGAGGGTGAGTAAAACATGGACACATTTTTGGGTGAAGTAACCCTTTAACTCAATGTAGTAAAATAAAAAAAAATAAAAAAAAAATATATATATATTTTTTTAATGACAAAAATGCACAATAAAATTACTAAAACTTTAACAAAAATTACTTTAAAGACAAAATACACATTCAAAATGTTAATAAAACAAATTGATTAAAAAACAGTATCTAGATTATACTAAAATAACACTGGAAAAGTTTAGCTAGTATTTTTTATGCAATTTTCCATTATTATCCCCTTCAAAAACTAGTATTGTCATACACAACTACAAAATATTTCCATTTTTTAAATCAGTGTTTCTGGTTTTATAGCTAGTGCATATTATAAATTATGTTTTATAGTGTTTAATTAAAATATAGCAAGTTGAACAACTTTTCTTGTCTGCTGATGTAATGTAGGCCGTGTAGGCGGGGACAAATGCTAGCCAGTAGTCTTTCTTACCACTGCATTTCTGATATTCCTCACTCTTGTTTCCTCTCTTTCTTCCTCTGCATATTTCTGCTGGCTGTCTCTGTCTCCACCCTTTCTGGTGCCCTCTGCTGTCTGGCTTTTGTAAAACCAGCCTCCAGAAGACAAGAGCTGGGTATATTCTCCTCTGCACTTCAGCTCAGGGCCTAAAACCCTGCCAGAGGATGAAGGGGAGAGTGAAACAGTAAGTGCGTGTTTTACTGTAGGTGTCTTGGGTTTGCGATGCTTGACATTGACGATCCATTGTCTATTATTCCTTGCATATTAATCGCATAAAAATTCAATGTGTCCCAACAGTAATCAGACCTCGGGAAAGAGGGGCAGCTACAAAGGTTCGGAATCTTCAGATGTCCGGAAGCTCTACTGGTCGGACTTTTTCGCAACTTAAGCATTTTCATCGTCCTTTCACCCATTCCATAACACCAAGCAAGTAGTAATACCAATGTCCAGACTTATTTATGAGTAATAATGAAAATATTTATGTTTAATTATTTTTTGATTGTTTTGTTTCATTTATTGGCTAATTTACATACTGTGAACGTATTTTCCGATTTGAGCTCTGGGACTCAAGACTTTTCCCAAGAGTGGGTTGTAGGTTATTATTTAAAAAAAATTTTTAGGGGATTATTTTTAGTTGTTAATGCGGCTTGGTTATCAGGTAGCATTGTTTGTTTCGTAACTTTTGAAAAATTAAAGTTCTGTCGCAGACCTTCGATATACACAAACATGGTTTGCTTTATTTTTATTGGTTCTTCAAAAAAATTTTAAGCCAGCAATAGTGTTCAGTGTTTCAGAGTTATGAATTTCCAAGAAGTGGAAATTTGAGCTCTGGGACTCAAGACTTTTCCCAAGAGTGGGTTGTAGGTTATTATTTAAAAAAAATTTTTAGGGGATTATTTTTAGTTGTTAATGCGGCTTGGTTATCAGGTAGCATTGTTTGTTTCGTAACTTTTGAAAAATTAAAGTTCTGTCGCAGACCTTCGATATACACAAACATGGTTTGCTTTATTTTTATTGGTTCTTCAAAAAAAATTTAAGCCAGCAATAGTGTTCAGTGTTTCAGAGTTATGAATTTCCAAGAAGTGGCTGTTTGATGTGTGAAATTTGGCAATAACCAAAGTCTCAAAATGTTCTCTTTTTTAATTTAATTTCAATGTAAAAATTAGGACTGATAACGGATGCTGGATGTTATAAAAATGAAATTTTCCACATCACCTGATCTTTATATTCTTGTTTTGGCTCATTTTTATACATTCTGGTCATTTAAATTTGTTCCACAGATTTTCCCGCCAAAATCCAGTATAAAGTCATCAGGGCCTGGTTAAGACATGTTAAACTGAAAGATGGGACCAAACATATGTGGGAGGCCAAATATGTAAAACAACTTGTTACCATAATCGCAATCCTATATTCTTGTTTTGGCTCATTTTTATACATTCTGGTCATTTAAATTTGTTCCACAGATTTTCCCGCCAAAATCCAGTACAAAGTCATCAGGGCCTGGTTATTAAGACATGTTAAACTGAAAGATGGGACCAAACATATGTGGGAGGCCAAATATGTAAAACAACTTGTTACCATAATCGCAATCAGAAATATTTGTTAAAACATTAATTTGTAAATCCACATGTATAGAATTTGTGTGTGCCTACGCATTGAGCGTGTTTGTGGTTTTGAGTAAACGAGTGTCTCATGTTACAATGGAAGTGTGCAACACTGATTCTTATAATGTGCAGTGGCCAGCTGTTACTGATATTGCTGTTGTATCCTAAATAAAGGGACTACTGCAGCAATACATTTGTAAAGTGTAGCACACATATTTTGGTTGCCTTTATTTTTTGCCAACCTAAATCCTATTGTAGTTATATACTACCGTATTCACTGATTCAGTCTTTCTAGTTCACCAATGATAGTGTCTTAGAGAATTTGTATATAGCTCTTTAAATACATATAAAATCTATTTTAAATGTTATTTGAAGGTTTCTTTTGTATTTCATTTTTCACAAGTGGCTTGTGAAAGGTGTCCTATAGGTCCACACAAACCCAACCATTCTTCCAGCATCGAGGAAGTTTTCTTGTGTTTGAGTCTGTTTCTTTGTATCATATGTACACTTTACAGTTGGGATTGTAAAGTCTGTACGGTCAAAGACTATACAACTGTATCAATCGCTTACTCTTCCAACAGTTGAGCTGTGTTTGTGTGTGCGCGCGTGTATGTGTGTGTGGTCAAAAAGGTGTGTGCCCCCCTAAATAGCATGATGAAATGTGAGTCTATTGACATTGATGTACAGTAGACATTTATCTCTTTGAAAAGACCACGACCAATGGACCGATGTGTGTACATTTGTTCAGATCCTTAAATAAATACAACTCATGGACTTGATTCACAAGATTCTTATTTTTTGTTGTTTTTGTACCATTCAGATTTTTCCCCAAAAATCTCACAAGTTCAACAGATATACATCACAAATTAAATGTAACCATGAGCTTTGGTTTTGATGCGTTATAAAATTTGAAAACTACATTTTGAATTTGATGCTAGCAAACTATGCTTTATCACAGTAGCTGTTTTGTGCAGGATTATACATGCATTTCATAAACGTCATGAAGGGAATTAAATGTTACCTTGTATTTGACAGGCTGCAGTGGCAAACCCTCTGGGACTTTTTGTTTTATCACTCCACTTGTCCGTGTTTGCACAGTCCAGTCTTCATATTAACAAGAACTATTATGAAGGTTTAACAATTTTTTTTTGATGAATTTCTGCAGACAAAGTCCAGTAAATTTTAATAAGATTCTATGCAATCGGTAATTTCATGATGAAAAATTTCCCCAAACAGATTTTGCAACGGTCAAGATTAACAACTTTCATGGACCCAATTGGATTCAACAGAATAAAAAAATAAATAAAAAAAAAGAATACTAAAACCGATTAAAACAGCAAACCTTATAAATTACTCACAACAAAAAATATTTTTTTAAATCTAAAGCTGTATTTATCTAAAAAAAGAAAAGGAAAACCCCTACAAAATAAAAACAGCTATCCTCTAAAAAGTAATAAACACTATAAAAATAAACCGATTTAACATTTTAATGGTTTGCTTTTTTTGCAGTATATATATATATATATATATATATATGCTTTATACTAGCAGCACCAAATTGCAGAGAGAATGCCAAACATGACTGAAAAGCACCACACAACACCACCAAGTTCTCAATGTTGAGATTTATTAGCAAACCTTTAACAAAGGCAATTTCTTGGAAAGCATCACAATAAAAATTGGGGAGGAAAAAAAAAACCATTTGGTCTCTAAAAGTCATAAGCAAAACTAAAAAAGGAAAATGTACCAGTCGGCACAAATACAATTATGTAACGGACAAATAATTTGGAAAGCATAGTGAGGGGGTGGAAGGAATCCATAGGCAAAGATGACGATTATGCATTTCTGTCGATCCTGACGTCAATCTCTCGCCCGCTGAGCCGGTAGCCGTTCATGGTGCGACAGGCTCGCTCGGCGGTCTCAGGACTGTCAAAGCGCACCACACCGCAGCCCTTGGACTTGCCGTTCTCCATCTTTATGTCTGCATACTGCACAATGCCTGTTAGAAAATGCAAACAAGCCATATCGATGAACAAAACGGAGCAATAAATGCTTAAGTCTGATGGGAAAGTGTCTTACCACATGAATTGAAAGTGTCCTTCAACATCTTCCAAGTGAAGTCAAAGGGCAGCTGCAAAAAAAGAAATTACTTTGTGAATGAGAGGGGGAAAAAAACAAAATAATAATAATACTAATACAAATAAGAATACAGGAAGTTAAGATCAAATGCTTACATTTCTGACAAAAATCTGGCAGCCCTTCCTGGCATTGGCTCCACCAGCCCCTGGCCCTCCTTGTCCAGACCCACTGAAAGGAGTCCCAAAATTGCCACGATCCATATCAGCAGGTCTGTCAAACTGCCCACCAACGCCACCAGAGCCCATCCGGTCCATGCTGGAACCCATGCGGTCGAGACCTGAGGAGGGGAAGCGGTCCATGCCACCGGAGCCCATGCGGTCGAAGTTTGAACCCATTCGGTCGAGGCCTGTGTTCATCCGGTCTATGCCCATAGGAGAGGCAAAGTCCATTCCACCGCTCATTCCACGATCCATGCCGGACGGGCCCAAGCGGTCGAACCCACCAGGACCCATGCGGTCCACGCTGGAGCTCATGCGGTCGAGGCCTGATCCCAGCCGATCCATACTGGGCCCCAGTCGGTCAAGCCCTGAACCCATTCGGTCGAAGCCAGATCCCAACCGGTCCAGATCAGACATGCGGTCCATGCGATCCATTCCCATTCGGTCCAGTCCTCCCATACGGTCCATGCCGCCGGCTCCACCGCCGCCGCCGCCAAGGCGGTCCATGCCAGAGTTCATGCGATCCATTCCCATGGAATTCCCTGGCAAATCAAATCATGGCAAAAAATTTTTTTAAAGGGGTCATATGATGCGATTTAAATTTTTCCTTTCTCTTTGGAGTGTTACAAGCTCTTGGTGCATAAATAAGATCTGTAAAGTTGCAAAGACTAAAGTCTCAAATCCAAAGAGATATTCTTTATAAAAGTTAAGACTCATCCACGCCCTCCTAAAACGCCTCGTTTAAACACGCCCCCACATGTCTACGTCACTGTGTGGGAAGATTTGCATAACGCCACCCAAATGTTCACACAAAGAAAGAAATGTAACTTTGATTCTCGCTGTAGTATTGTTGTTGCTGCTGCCGCCGCCGGTAATGTTGTGGAGATGCTGCGTTTCATTGTGAAAGCGAAACGACTTTGTTTGGCCTTCCAAAAGAGGACGATATATACATCGTCATGCCTGGAGCTGATCCGTGCTGGTCACTGAGGAAATACATCAACTTCGCACGGTGGATCACCGGATCAGCTTTCACCGTGGACTAAGCGGAGTCCAGCCCGGGGTCATCACGTGGTTGCCGCAAGCCTCCTTCGTCGCATCCGCCGGGCACCACTCACTCAAGCCGCCGTGTTTCGTTGTGAAAGCGAAACTACTTTGTCTTCTTTTGGAAGGCCAAACAATGTTTCTATAAAGTGGGACAGTTCCAACTTTGCAAGGACAGTCTGGCGCTTCTGACTCAGCCTGTAAGTACTGTTTTTTATATTTAAAGGATTTGCCACTGACGATTCAAATGAGAGTTTGAGCAGTGTGGAGTAGCGCTTATTGTTGGTAATTTCTCCGATCACAAATGCAGACATGGTTTTATGTTTACGCGGCGCAATACGCAACGCAAAGCATAAAAACACAGTATAAGTCATTATAATCAGTAATTATGTCCCCACTGGATGCAACAAATGCCTCGTTTGTAATGGGTTTTATATGGTTTCGTCTCATCACACTGGGACACATGGAATACAGGATAGCCGGCCAATTAGAGCACGCCTCCCTTTTCAGACCAATGAGCTTCGTAAAAACCGCATTTCAGAAAGGCGGGGCATAGAGGAGAAATAATAATGTACAGTATGTGGAAAATAATGTGTTTTTTTAACCTTAAACCGCATAAACATTGCATTAAACCAAATGTTATTTTTAACAACATCATATAACCCCTTTAAAAAGTTAACATTATGTAACTATCTTAAGAAATTTATAGGAGCAAAGGTTAACGTTACTAACCCATTCCTCGGTCAAATGAGTCTCCAAAATTGCTACGGGACATACCCATGTCATTACGGCCACCAAAATCTCTATCAAAGCCGCCGCCGATTCCGAAAAACCGCATTTCAGAAAGGCGGGGCATAGAGGAGAAATA